GGCAGAGGGAGCCCACCTGGCAGAGAGACCCTGCTCACTCTGTAGATGCCCTTGGAGCCCTGGTGCTGCTCCAGGTGTGGCTGGCCAGGGAGGGACTGCGGAAGGTTGGCTCCAGAGTGTGTCTGACCCATTTCATCCAGTGCTGCCTTGCTGGCCACCTTCTAATTAATTTCCTTTCAATGTGCACAAATCTGTGCACTGGGGCACTAGTATAGAACATGATCTTGTCACAAAAAATGATCCAAGGGGATATAAGTAGAGAAATTCTTCCCAAAGAGTGAGAGTCACTTTTAGTCCTATCAAAAAGATTCTACCTCCTTTTTCTGAAGCAAATTCCCAGCTCTGGGGCAAATCAGACTTTCATTTGTCTATCTAAATAAGTAGCCTAAGGCCTGGTAACTTCTTGTGAACAACTCAGTGAAGCCAGGTGGGTTCCTGGGGTAGCTCAAAGTCCCCAGACCAGGAGACAATACTTCTTTTTCTTTTTATCTAGGCAACAAAAAGATCTGTTCTTTCTGATGATAAACAGGAAATCAACTGAAGGGAAAGGCCTTCTCAAGGCTTGTGTTGGCCCACTGACAGTAGGAGTGGATTTCTCTTATTTCTCATTTTTAGAAAACAGCATTCTGATGGTTTTTATCCTTGTGTGGCTAGTACACATTCCATCCTAGGTCCCTTCCTCAAGATGTTTAGCATGACCCCAGCATCTTCTTCTCCCTTTCTTCTGACTACAGAATTCACCGGATGCTTCTTTCGGCGTCCAGACAGCTGCCAAGTATGTCCCTAGACCATCTTTATAACAAGGTGAGGAAATCTTTCAGAATGTTTTCATTTACTCACCCAACCATCACCTTCCTGAATCCATCCCCTTTGCCAGAAAGATAAATCATCATGTCTTTTAAGACAGTGGAAAGTAGCATACCTCCGTCCCATCCATGTGTCTACAAACTCCTTCTTTAGATAAAAATTCTTCTAATTTAGTCAGAGTTAAAAAAAAAAAAAAAAAAAAAAAGCTGGGAGGAGGTATGATATATTCCATGCAGCTCTTTAAAAAAGACAGTAATAAAGGTACTAATATTTTTTAGAAAACTCTAGAGCCATCTCCTTCCTGAAATTACTTACAGGATATTCATGTTGCTATTAAATAAGCAGATAATCTTTATCTACTAATAAAAAAGAAACATCACAAAAAAATAAAACACAGCAGTTTACTGCCAGAGGACTGTGACAGTCTTAACAAGTTTTACAGAAAATAAAATGCCAGCAGATAACAGGTATTATGTTTTCTTTTGGCAAATTTTAACACTTCGCAGCTAGCATATCTTGTTTCCTTAATTGGACCCATACAAACTCACCAGGCCTTTTCACTCGCAGCCATTGAAATGCTCCCAATTTGCTCTTTACAGCTTTTCAGAGCCTAGATGGGAAAACAGCTCCACAACAGACTGGCTGAAAAGATTTTTAAGGTCTCATGTCCATATTTACAAATCTTGCAATCTGTGTGTATTCACTGATTTTAACACAAGTAAAGGGAATAAATCAGGAGCCCCTTTGGGGGGACAAAAAACACACCACACTGAATTTGAGAGAAAAAGAATAAAGTATGTCTGCTGAGGCCACTCTCAGATGGTCTCTAGAGTCTTCCCCAACAGAGTGCACTGCTATTTCTCCAAGCTCGTGTGGAAGCTAATACCTCTCTCTCAATTGCATTCCTCACCTAGATTATTGTCTGTGTCCTGTTTGGGCTTAGATGTCTGTATTATTCATGCCTGGATTGTAAGCTCCTCCAAGGTAAGGTAGTTTTAAATTATTGTTACCAGCACTTGGCCTACCCTAAGTCTGAGTACATATTTGTTAAAACTGAGAGGGAGACACAGAGAAAAGAGGGGGGAAATAGAAGGAGGCCAGAGCAGGGGAGAATCTGAGAGAACAGTGGGAGAAGTCTTCAGCTTTGGGCCAGTGGGCAGGTGTGATAGTGAAGAGAACAACCAAGAAGATGGCCAGGAAAGATCCAGAAAGTCCCAGGACACAGCCAAAGAAAGTTGGTTAGTCTCATGGACAAAAATAAATTTTCTTTTAAAAAAATAATCATAGATCGTAATCAAGTAATTGCTTTCATCACTTTGGCTTTGAAGGCTTGTGTGAACACACATATTTTTTCAGGCCTATTTTAAAACTAGTTTCAATGTAGTTATTAGGTAACGTATCTTCCTAATTTCCTTCTCAACAGTTCAGAAGTTCCCCAGTATCACATGACTGGGGTTATTTGTTAGACCTCTAGATGGGACTTGAGGGTGTTCTGAGTCCATGAACGTGTTTTTTGATGACATGTCCATGGGATGATCTATGTTGGTGCTTACTGAATCGACTGGAATTAATGCTATAATTTTAGAATTGTGGGTCAGAAATCTTGATGTCAACCTGGAGAAGCACCTGGGGCCCTCTCTTGGGGCCCCACTCCTCCCCTGAGTGGACTATGGATCAGATTTTAACAAATGATGCTGGCGGACTAATAGGAATGAAATGTTAACTTTCTAAACTTGCTTTCCTAGATCTCTCCAAAAGTAGCAAGCAACGGTGCAATTTCTCAGGCCTGTGCTGGACAAAAGATACTAGTGTTTTTCCTTGGCTTGGGAGAGGACAGGAAAGGACACTGAGATGCTAATCCCTGGTGTGAGTATCTCAGGCAATGACAAAGGGCTCTCGTCTTTTATGACACAGCATTTACCAAGCATCCCGTTGGGAAGCCCTTGTTCCCAATTGTCTGGGAAGCATAAAATCAGGCACTTTTGGCAACGTTCAACACATCTGAGCATGGGAAACACAAATTAAAATAGAGACACTTCTTTACTCACTAGCTGTGTTTCTAGTTACACTTTCACTTGGCATAAAAAATAGAATCATTAAGGAAGGAAAGACCCAAGTATGGAGATATCTAACTCAGGTTTGGTGAAGGTCAGAGAACACTTTAAGTCTCATGAAGGTTAAGTATTTTTATTCTTTCAGCTTCCAATGAAGAGATAAAATAAAATCAGGTAAAAAAAAAAAAAGTATTGCTTATTCTAAAATTACTTGTGTTCTGTTGCTCATAGTGATGGAGGACTTTTCAATGCATTAGGAATGGTATTCCCTTTTGGGTTTGGGGAAACTATTCCCCTTTGTTTTATTTCATTTCATTTATTTATTTATTTATTTTAAAATTTCTTTATTAAGGTGTTACATATTTCCCTTTATTTTATTGCTTGTTTGTTTGACTGAGGAAGCAGAAGTTCTCATCAAAGTCAGTAAGTCGATCTCAAGTTAGAAATAGTGAATTGTTATCTCCAATGTTATTCTATAGAATTGTTTTCTTCTGCTACTAGAATATCAGTGACCAGTTACCTCATCACTGCTGTCATTCTACTTAATTCAAATGTCTATACTAAAGCCAATAAATAGCTGTTTGTTCTGACCAATAACCATAAGACATCTATCTCTGGAAGAGGTTGAAGCCCTTTGGTAGAAGGTTGCCAATCCTTACTATGCCTTTCTGATGAGTGTTTTTAAAGTCTATTGTATGTGGAAGAACCTACTGGTGCTGGGGGAGTTTTACATGTTCTGCATAATAGTGCTGAATGCTGAGACAGACTCTTAAACAGCAGTGGGAGAGTGCTGAGGGCCACAGCCAGGAAGCCACAGCACTGAAGTGAACACTAGAGGGAATTAGCTCAGTCACCAGACTCTGCTCTTTCAGCCCTGACCTTGTGAGCATAAATAGGAGTGTGAACATCAGAAAACTTTCCTAAAACAGTTTGCCCTTCAAAAGATCTGGTGTCTTTAGTGGCCACCAAGAATATGAGAGTTCCTTATGTGGTTCTCAAGAAAGCATTAAGAGCTGTAGCAGAAGGCAGTGGTCATCAAAGAGGGTGAGTGAGAGCTGACTCACGAACAGGCCATCACTATTACCACACACAGCTCTGCTCCAGTAATGATGTTAGCAATGAGAGCTAATGTTCATTGAACATCAAAATCCAGTCTCTGGCACTATTTTAAGTATGTGACATGTACTTTTTAAAAAATAAATTTGATTTTTAGAGAGAGAGGAAGGGAGAGGGAGAGAGCAAGAGAAGGTAAAACATCAATATGAGAGTGAAACATCAAATGGCTGCTTCCTGCATGCCCATACCTGGGATTGAGGCCACAACCCAAGCATGTGCCCTGTTTGGAAATTGAACCAGCAACCATTTGGTACACTGGACAATATACAACTGAGCTGCACTGGCCAAGGCAACATGTACTTTTAATCAAACTCTAAGTACCCTCTTCTGGGGCATTTTTGTGGATGCTCAAGAACCAAATGCATTTTGTAAGTACAGCTTTGCCTTCTTGAAGAAGATAGGAGAATGAATCACTATCCTGAAAAAACAACACAAAGATTACCTCTCTAGAGGTCACAATGTTCTGTCCTGTTCCCAAATGTTGAAGGCTTGGTAAAGAGAATCCTCTAATACAAAAATTGCCCTTGCCTCAAAATAAAATGATCCTGGAGTCTGGTAAGAACAGCAAAATCTGACTTGTTCAGGTATGATGTACAAACAATTGATATAGCTGAAAGCAACCCTTCTGAAATGCACTCTAATAATCACTTTTCAAAGGCTCAATGACTTACGTTGCAGGTTCCATTAATGTTTGCCCAGATGTCTGAGACCCAAGATGGAGGGCAAGGATTAGGGTTCAGTAGATGATGACAAAGATTCCTTGTCCTCTTTAAAACAGCAAACATCTGCTCCCCTCCAAGTTGGTATACAAGTCCAACAGGGAGTAAATATGAGAGTAATTAAAACAAACTACTGTTCATTAGTGTGGTTTGATTTATGTGAACAACTTCTGTGGGAGAGGATGGCTGTGGTTGGGGTAACCCAAATATAACGATATATATAGAACAGTCTTGGCCACGTTCTTCTGCTCTAAATTATCTCAGTAAAGATAAATGCAATAACTGGAGTTAGGCATGGGCTTACCCAGTGAAGGTCATAATCAGACGGCCTTGCTCTTCCTTCGTCGTCCTCATATAATGTGAAACCTTCCCTTCGAGCCTGATAATACTCCTTCCGCAACTTCTGGATGCGATCAGCACCTCCACTCATGGGATAGCTGCTATGGAACACAAACAAACACAGTCACACAGTGCATGTCACCCTGGAAGCTCACTTTTTGATCTTCTTGTTAAAGGGGTTGACACCTGCATTTGGAAAATTCAATAATGTCAGTCAAATATGCTAGGAAAACCATGAAATCAGTAATAACAATGAACAAAAACCAGTCCTAACATGCACACCTTTAGCTTCAAGGGTCAGAACATCTGACTTGAGCTTAATAAGTGCCCTTTGATGAGAAGGTAAGAAAAGGTTCTGACCTTTACAGTAAATAAAAGAACCATCACATTTTTCTTATAGTCATATCCACAAAATTTGGTTACATTTTCAAGTGGGTATCTCATTTTCTCAACTATTTGAGACCAGTTGCTTGACTTGAAGATTGGATGTGACACAGGGTTTGCATGTGGCAGTGTTCAATAGAATGAGACTCATGCATTTTTAGAGTGTGGGCGGATGAGGTACATGGACATGTTAATGTGGAAGCCATGTCAGAAAGCAAAAAAGAAAAAGAGAAAGCAGGTGATAGTAGAATGTGTCCACTTGTTTACCAGTCCAAGGTTCTCTCTCTACTATAGCCACTTCTTCCTCTCAGGAATTATAGATTCTCCAGTGACCCATCCACTCAGTCCCAAACTGGTCAGCCAGTGGCTCCCTTTTAGCAAGTATTTGTTCCCATCATTTCAACAGAACCAGCATCATGAGATACAATTCAGGGCTAGGAAACAAGAAAGGAATGATAGGCAGAACTTACAGTTGTTCAACTTCTTTGGTTCATCTGAGGTATACCTAAGAGCCCTATTGTGTCAGACCTCAGTTAAGATCTGGGAAAGTAAAAATGGACAATTCACAGTCCTGGTCTGCAAAAGGCACCCAGTCTGGGAGTTAGGGGGCTGACAGTGATAAAGACTACAACCCACTGTGACGGGTGCTATAACAGAGGTCTGCACAGCGAGGAAATAGACTGCTTAAACTTAGCCAAGGTGAGCCCAGGACCTCAGAGAAAGGTCACGGAAGGCTCCATAAAGGTGACACCTTGGCTGAATCTTGAAGGATGCCCAGATATTCAACAGTGAGATGAGGAAATTCTGGATAGAGAAAAGGGCAGTGTAAAGGACAGAAATGAGAAAGCATCTTGCTTTGGGAAATGTGAGTAAGTTATCTGGGCAAGCAGTGGTCTCAGCTTCATTTGTCCTGCTCATGCACATATCAAGTGGTATTTGCTCTCTTTCCTCTCTTATGTAGGAAGCACAGTAGAATAAAAGTATGTGTATTGGTGGTCTGGATATTTTAAATTTACTTTAGTGAGAAAAGCACGTGCCTTGCAAAATTTGGTATTTCAACTCAATTTGTAACAACCATAATGACACTTCTTTCATGAGTCTGTAGGAATCACTGCTCTCGTATGCAGAGCATAGGGGTGGAGCAGGAAAGAGAGACAGGTGTGACTGAGAAAGGTTGTGAAGAGCTTTACATGCCCAAACCATCCTCCAATATTACAATTGAGTTTTAAGTTTAAGTAAGGTATAAAATAAGATATCTGTAAAGATCGCATACCTTTATATTTTGTCAATGTGTATTTTAAAACTCTCAAATAGTTCTAGTTCTGTTTCTATACCATGCTTTTTTTTTTTTTTAAAATATAATAGAAGTTTTCCTTGAGCACTTGGAAAAAAATTGGAAGGCCTGATATGCTTTTCCGAACTATGGGCAGCTCTCTGGAACAGCGGGCCTCGCTCCTGAGTATGAGGAGCTGACTATGATACCCGTATCTAATGTGCAGTGTCTGCTGATTACGTGAAACCATGAGCTGCATTCAAACTTATCAGATAAGATTAATCAACACAGTGCAAACATCACATATATAATCTATTAGTTTACCCAGAGAAACTGAAGCATTGAATTCAAGCAGAAAGAAGTCATCAGTAATAAAGAAAAAAAAAAAAAAGGAAGCTGATTAAGGCACTTTTTAAGGAAACACAAAACCCACCACTTTCCTACATTTGTGGTGGAGAAAGAAAACATACACAGACTGCAAACTATTCTATATATCTATAAATACATAAAATTTAAAATATGGGTTTAATCAGATTTCAGTTCTCAAAAGAGAGGGATTGGGGCAAGAATACAAAATCAGCTGTTTAGGATTCAGGAAATCTCTTATGGTTGACAGGAACATGACTATTTACTCAGAAAAGAAATCTGGCCTCAGAGGAAAAAAATAGGAAAAAACCCCAGAAAGTCATGGACCATATAAGAGCAAGACAAGCTGTCCCTTCTCCCTTGTGCGGATATTTTAAAGAAGATATGGATACTGTACACATCTGTCATAACTTGGAACTACATCTCAACATTGTCTTTTCCTCTCCAACTCCCAATCTATTGTTAGTACATGGATCATTTTTTTTTAAGTGGGCATTTTATATAATAAAATTAGGAAAAGCAAATTTTGGTTTCATTTTTTAGCTTTTCTCTGCAGATAATATACAAAAGCTCATATTACATCAGTAAAAGTGACATACACAGCCAGTGTTACCAAAGCAGTTAATTTATTCCATTTTGTTTGGAGGATGCAGAAATGTGAAAATAAATATAAAAATACCATTGTCACAATAGCAACAATAATAATAGTTATAACTGACAGAAACTTGCATAGTAAATATACTGATACAGACTTTTATTTATTCTACTTTCTGCCCAGAGCAGACACCACTAATCAATTACAGCATTCTTTCCCAGTGACCCTAGACATGGTCTTAGGTTAGGATCCTTTTCAACTGAGAACTTCAGAAAGCCACTACTAATCTGCAAAATCTGGCACTTGAGTTTATTTTCAATTTTTGTGACAGGTGCTATAAATAGCTCAATACATCAAATAAAATGGAAAGGTAGCTGTGTTTTAAAAATATTTTTTAAATTGATTTCAGAGAGAAAGGGAGAAGGGAGAGAGAGAGAAAGAGAGAGAGAGAGAGAGAGAGAGAGAGAGAGAGAGAGAGAGAGAGAGAGAGCGCAATGATGGGAAAGGGTCATTGATTGGCTGTCTCCTGCATGCCCCACACTGGAGATTGAGCCCACAACTGGGAATTAACTGTGACCTCCTGGTTCATAGGTTGATGCTCAACTACTGAGCCATGCCAGCTGGGCAAAAGATAGGTTTTATTGTTCTGCTCCATAGAGATAAGGAATCATGGCTAATAGATGATGATCAAGGTCTGTCTTACTTCAAAGACTAGTCTTCCTACCAATGTCTACTATCTTCAACCTGGGTCTTTTCTTTTATCTTATCTACCAGAGGCCCAAATGCATGAAATTCGTGCAAGAGTAGGCCTTCCTTCACCTGGCTGTTCGCACCGGCTTCCCTCTAGGCACCCAGGACCCAGGGTTCCCTTGCAGCCCCAGCCTCATCTGGAAGGTCATCCGGTCTAACGAGCATATTACACTTTTATTATTATTATTATTATTTTTTAAAAAATATTTTATTGATTTTTTTTTTTTTTTTGAGAGAGGAAGGGAGAGGGATAGAGAATTAGAAACATTGATGAGAGAGAAATATCGATCAGCAACCAAGGTACATTCCCTGGACTGGAATCGAATCTGGGACCCTTCAGTCTTCAGGCTGATGCTCTATCCACTGAGCCAAACCAGTTAGGGCTACACTTTTATTATTATAGACATCTTAGAGACTGGGTCCGCAAGCCACATTCTAGCCCAGAACGAAAGTTAAGCTAGCCTTAAGAACTTATTTTCTGAGGACTCCTACTTTCCTTCCTCTATTACATGTTATCTTATTTTTCTGGCTTTATGGGACTTAGCAGTAGTTATTCTAAGAAATATTTTGCCTAATGGCTTCAGAAGTGATGTCAGATTATGATGGAACGCAAATACTCTTGCAACCATATAACATCAGGCAAAGCATCAATAACCCCATCTCCATGTTGCTAGTAAGAAAATTAGCCTTTTTGTATTAATTGTTCACTGGATAAAGTTCGCCATTTTATAAAAAAGAATGGTTTGTATTGTAGCTGTATATCTGTGTAGGTGATCAAGGCCTCCTACACTTTCAATGTGCTGAAATTTTATGTGAAATGGATTAAACAATGTAAGAAAACAGATTTTAGTAGAGTGATTTCTTGTCAATTATACTGGCTATATCTTTAAAGATAGACATGTAGCTAGGCCAGTGTGGCTCAGTGGTTGAGTTTCAACCTATGAACTAGAAGGTTATGGTTGGATTCCCAGTCAGGGCACAGGCCTGGGTTGCTGGTTTGATCCTCAGAGTGGGGCATGCAGGAGGCAACCAATCAATGATTCTCTTTCATCACTGATGTTTCCATCTCTCTCTTTCTCTCCCTTCTTCTCTGAAATCATTAAAAATATATTAAAAAAAAAAGACAGACATGCAGTTATACATGCTCCTTTTATAGCACTTGAGAGCTGGACAGAGTTTAGAGCTGTAATGGGGTTTGTAAGCCATGTCTTTTTCTTCAGAGCCACCTAGAGCAATATGTGCCCGTATGCAGTGCATATCACAGTGAGGCATCATCTGCTCCTTCGAACTCTCATCTCATTGTTCCCAGTTCATAATGAACTCAGTTGAAGCTCCCTTTAAAAACGAGTGTTCATTTGGGCTTGCCGTAGTCTCCTCCCATTCCTGCTGCGGGCTGGAAAAGGGAAACCAATATTTATTAAGCTCCTGAAATGCCCTAAGTTTAATACTGATGCTTTACATACTTCATCTCACTTAACCCGCCATCAAACCTGTGAGGACGACGCTGTTACTGACGTTTCACAGGTGAGTACACGAGGCTCAGAGAAGTTGAGCAGCACGATTGCTGAGCGGTGGCCCAGGGGTTGGGTGGCTGCAAACCCAGAGTCACTGCTCCCATATCGTGCTGCCTGGCCAGACAGGCACTAAAACGTGGCAGGCGTTTCTAGCAGCAGGTCCCAGGCGCGTCCAGGCGGAGGGAACTTAGAGCACATTTATAGCCCTACCTTCTGATACACTTTTATGTGCATAGGTCTGTGCCATAAAAATAGAAGTAAAAGTAGCTAAAGCAATAGAAAGACATGCAATGAGGTCTGTGTTCACTGAAGAATGATGTTGGAGCAACTGCGGATGGAGAGTTCTGGATAGCTAATGTTACATCTCCAACAGGCTTATGTGAGAAATGGGTATAAAACTGAATGGGGTGTGAAAGAGAATCCACATGAGACAAAGATCCCACATGAAAGAGAAAGAAGCGCTGGATGGGGACCAGGACGGACTGGCAGCCAAGGCCGCTCCCGGGAAAGTTCACCCCGACTGAGTAAGGGGGATCCGATTATTGACAATGAGCCACTGTTGGGCTTGTGAGTTAACTTGGGGTGATGTTGTGTGTATGCCTCAGTGGGCATGTATGTAAAAATGTGCACACTAACTGTGATTAAATGGCACGTGGTTAATTCCAACGAGCCATGCAGTTTTCAGACCTGCAGCTCTGTGTCTGCAGAGGTGTTTGTTTGCCTTTGGGGAGGACAGCCCTCATTTGCAAGCACCAGCCTGGGGTCCAGAGCGGCGATGTGGTTAAGAAACAGTCTTTGTAAAATGGAGCCTTAACAGCGGTATTCCTCCCTGCATGTGGTAATCCTTACTAAGTCACCGAACAAAGCGAGGTGAATTAGCTGAGTGCATGCCGACAATAATCAGAACAGAAAGTACTGGTAAGTTTGGGGCTGGATGGACTCTTTAAATTTGTATGAAGTTGCTGTAAAAGGTTACTTTGAGGTTTATCACTAAATGTTTAATTATATAAATTGATGTCAACCTTTCTGTACTTATAAAAGGGTGGGATTTAAAAGTTTTCTCAAAAAGGGTTAGCCTCTTGAAAGATATGGGGTAAAGAAAAGCATTTTTGTAGCCTTTAAGAATGCCAGGATGCTATTCCCCCCCCCCCTGCCCCCCCCCCCCCCCCCCGTTGTTTGTTTTTTTTCACATTCAAGGACCTAAAACTTATCATTGTTATAAACTTCAATTTTAGTAGTACCATTGTTGCCTTAGAAGACAGGGCTTTTATTTATTTTTTTATTTTATTTTTTGAAAGTTAGAACAGACTTCTCGAAGTACCTGCATTCTGGGTCACTCATACTCCCAATAACATGAATAAAATATAACCTAAAATAAAATCTATATGCAGTCTTACTTGACCAATTTTACTTTAAATCCAAAACTAGTTTCTGGAAAAGACTATTCCGTCGAAGACAGACAGTCATGGACACAACTGTTACTTATTTTCTGTTGGTGCTAAAGATCCCTGTCAAATAAAAGTCCACAGAGATTCTTATAAATGCATTCAGGCTCATTAATTCAAAAGGCTTTTGAAGATTTACAGAAACTATAGCCCAAAAGCACTTACATTAATACTCCACAGATTTGCCTTTCATAGCAAAAATGCATTTATATAGTGGCCCATCTACACGAAAGGAGCTTAAATAATAAACAATGGCTTTTAATGGGGCCTAATTCTATAGAATTCTTCAAGTGATACTTTAGTCCTGAAAAGCTCTAAAAATTATCCGTGTAAATATTCGGTAAATATTATGATTATGTAAATTCTGTGTCCTCTCCTGCTTCCAATTTCTCATAAAGAATACTTATTTTTTGAAAGGTACATTGGCAAGTAAGAGTTTTCCATGACTTAGTCCAGTGAAACTTTTGGACCCACAACTGAGTACCCATGAACCATAACTGGGTATTTCTTTTCCTAATTTCTTCCCAAATTCATCATCACTATTTATCACTTTTAATTATTTTTGTTAAAATGTTTCTCCAAATAATAAGAATATGCCTTTCCTCATATGAACATCTAATGTCTATCAGATTTAAGTTATCTTGTTGATTAAATCATTGAAATTAAGAACCCTTTGCTTGCTTACTATGACTGCCTAAAAAAATCCTCAATTAAAGTAATGACTTTAGAGAAAGAGTGAAGCATATTATTAACAGACAAAACAAACTGTTCACATCTAGACACTCCCTTTATTTCCAGGACTACATTTGTCAATTATCTCTGACCTCTGCTTCTTAGAAGGTGAAGGAACAATGCTTAGCCATTTAAAGAGAATATTTAATGTCACATAAAAAACAAAACAAAACAAAACAAAAAAAAACTGGTGGCAGAATAGGAGAAAAAACTGTGCTCTATGCTAATATGTATCTTTGAAAAGTATGTATTTGTATAAATTACTAAGAACTGAACAAATCATTTCCTATATCAAGATCATGTGGGGAAGTTGGAGTAAACCTGTGCCGAGAGATTGATATGCAGGCAAGGTTATAAGAAGAAAAAAAAACAAAAACTCACAAAGCACAATGATGCATTCGCTCCCCCTGTAATCTTGAACACAGTTTCCCCCCAGGCCATCCTGACGCTGCCTGGGGCATTCTGACCTAGCAGCTACAACCTGACAGAGCGACTTGGCTTACCTGGGCGCCTGGCTTTGCCATGGCAACCTGAGTCTTGACCTTTCGTCTTTTTCAACACGTTGCCTGCTTTCAGCATCTGCTCTCTTTGAGATCTTTGTTTTGTTTTCTCCATCCCTAACTTGGTGAATTCAACTTTGACTCCTACAGCTTGCAGATTTTTCCTGGAAATCTTAACCCTAGACTGAACCTTGAGCCCTCGTGTATCAAGCCTTAGTGGACATAAAGGCCTCCTTCCCTGGCACTTTCGATTGCATAATGGCAAGCATTTCTACTCACGCTATGAACCACGCTGCCATTTATCGTTGAAAGCAATCTCACTGATGCATGAAGGACAACTTTCTCCCATGTGATTGATTGTTGTGACTGTGAATCTCCCCAGATCAATGTCATCTCCTCTTCTGTTAAAAGGCATTGCTCTACCTTTGCTCTTTATCACTTGAGACAAAGAGAGGCCAATCTCTAAGCAGATCTCCTCTAATCAGAACATCCTGCTTCTCTGTCTCCGTTTCCAGCGAAGGCAGAATTTCTTTGGATGATACTGACAGTGTTTTCACAAATCAACAACACACAACACCTTCCACTCACCATTATCAGCCTGTAACACATAATTGCATTGTTCTGGTACTGTACAATGACCTCCTGGCTGTGTTCAAATTTCAGAAGCCAGTTTTGCCATTAGTCATAAAATATCCATGTGAGTTATTAATATTTTGAATTGTATTCTGATACACTTCCTCCAACACAGCTCAGTATTCTTGAGCCTTAAATAATTTACACAAACACTGGACACATTCAGAGTTGTGTATAAACATAGAATACATATTGTCTCTAGACATTTTGCCAATTTCATTAACAACACAAAATATGTGGAGGTCACAGAAGGAATTTGTCAAGTGTTTCATGTGGTAACTTTTATTGCTAAAGAAAGATCTAAAAATCTAGTTGAAATGTTCACATTAGATGGTTGCAAAATTAGCTTCATTTCTACTCTGCATCTCTGCAAAAACAAACATACACAGATGCAAAGAAAAATAGATATGGATTAATTTGGAACTGTGCATCCACTGTGTCTTTCATTAAAGATGGTAAACAAACCATGCTCTCAGATACAATCCATGTAGTTACAGCTGTTCTTACATGGTTGAAATATAGTGCCATTGCATCCCGACTGTTTAACTGATGCACCACATATTTGAGTGTAGAGAAAAATGGGGATCTGTTTGTGTGTGTGTGGGTGGGTGGGGGGGAGGGAGTGGCAATTTAAGCTGTGTTAGTGTTCCCACCGGCCAGTCCATGTAACGAGCAGCACATGGCCCTGGACATGAGCTGCACTGATTTCCCTCAGTTGGTGTCAGTTCCTAAGCACCTCTCAGGATGTAACCTTGACATTGTGTTGAACTCAATTCCAATGTTTCAAGATATGCATTCCTTGCACAACATGGCCCTTTGCATGCAAGCCAACTCCTCCACCAGGGAGCAGCCACCTGACACGGTGCTCAAGGACACAGTGTGGGATGGATTTAGTGAGAGGCCAGGTAGGGTCCAAAACAGCCTTCGCCTTCAGTGTTTTCCAAGGTCTATCCCAACTATACACAATTCTTGTCTCACCTAATGACTTTAGAAACTAACCTGAAGACATGACTCTACATGAAACATTGTAAAGTTTTTTAAAGAATTTTATGGGCCAAAATAAAATTAGCAAAATACTGATAAAAAGGTAAATGGAAGAAACCTATAAAACCTTTAACTATTATTTGAATTATTGAGCTGAACAAAATATGGTTCAAGGAGAAATAAACTTTGGTTGCTTATACAGTATGTGAGCAAATTAATGTTATTACAACACACACACACACACACACACACACACACACACACTTGTCAAAGAAATTCTCACCATAAATGCAGGACTTGCAAGATGAAATTATCTTCTAGGCTTAAGTTAAACACAGCTTGAGGTTTAGAAATACATGTCTGACATTTAGATGGGAATTAAACTTTCAGAGTCTATTCTGGGAAAAATAGGCCTTGTGGCAGCAGGCCAGAAAACCTTGGGAATTTCCTGGGCTTCCATAAAATTCCTTCTTCCTCAGAGGAAAGAAGAGAGAAGCTCATCTTCACCCTGGGGAATCTCAGAATGTCATCAAAGGCCACCTAGTTCCTTTCTTTTAGACTGTAAGAAAACAGGACCTAATTAACTACAAAATTTTAAGGGAAAATAAGCAGATTCTAAATGATTTAGTGCATGCATGCTGTTTTTTAAATTTTTTATTTGGAGGATTATAGCAGTCAGGATAGGCTATTGTATGCTGTGGTAACTAAATGTCAATGGATTAAAACAGTAATTTCTTACTCACATAACAAGGCTTATTTTTCCTCCCTTGGGAAAATAACAAAAGTGACAAAAGCAAAAAAATATAAAAGAACAAGGTTTTCAATTGAAAGAAGCTAAAAATTGTGATTAGGAGCTCACCACTAAATGTTCGGAGACAAAGCCTTTTAAATACATAAAATATGTAAACTAGTTCTTACAAACACATTAAAGGGATATATGATAATAAACTATCCAAACACCCAGATAAGTCACACAGATAAGTGATTGTGGGGCCAATCTTACCTCATATATGAGGTTAAATCATACTATCTCATGAGTATAGAAGTCTACATGAAGTGTTCTGATATGATTAGCATAAAAGCAATTAAGTCCAAGAACCTATCAAGAACATTTTTGATATTACTCAATTCATTTCATTCCTTTTACATCTTTATGCTGAATACTGAGCTTTAGACATTTTAAATAAGGTTATGATAATTAGCCAATCAAAACAGATTCTCAACTCCAAAGAGTCACCTAAAATGTTCACATATACTTAGGTCCCAAAGGATGCCAAATCCAAGAACATCCCCCAGCTCTCATTTGCCTGGTGTAAAGTGAGCTCTATACCCTGTCACCTCTCACTGACCTTCTGACTTCAGGGATTTATGGGATAGAGACTGCTTGGAGTACCACCTTCTATGGATTGTTCCAGTTGTTTTGAAAACACATCCACATTTCTACAACTCCTGTCTGGAAGCATGCTTTTCAGGACAGCACAGAAACTAATACATTGGTATCAAACTTAGATCAACTACTTTTTAAAATTTTTTTCCAATAATCCTCTGAACATTTTCAGATATGCACATTTATTATTTATTCTTAAACATTACATGGTCATAATGGCACAAAGAGGATTAAGACACAGAACCAGACTCTTAAGAGATTTCACAGTCACATGAGGGCCATGGATACAGTGCAGAATTACAGTGCAGTGTGGCAGTGATGATGAGGAAATAACATGATGTCCTGTAGTGGGCCAGAGGGAGGGTGATTAGCTGGCTTGAGGGGGCCAGAAAGGGCCTCGAAGACAGAGGAGAGCAGGCAGAGGGAGGGTGACAGAGCACGCTCAGGTGGGAGGGACACCTGGAAAGAGTGGCAACACAGAAGGACACGGCAGGTATAGCAGGAGTGGTGCAGTGGGTGGGGACATCCTCAGGTATGAAGCTGGTAGACTTGGACAGCTCCATATGCCGGTCTTCCCCAAAGGGACGATGATGTGGGATCACTGGAGGATTTCAGATACAGTAGCAGCATCCTGTGAGCTCTTCTTTGCAGCAGGACAACTCTGGGAGACCCTTACTTCCTTTGAGCCCACATATCCTAATCTATGAAATGACCCTCTATGGGTTTTCTTTGCACTGGTATTCAATGGTTCCTTGAATGTGTGTAGAGTTCAAGGTTGACCCTATCATTGGTCAAGGCCACCTTCTATTTCCATCTCCCAACTTGTTGGAGGCTGTAGTTGGAGGGTCACTTCAGTTCCAGGCGATGGGACATGGAGCTTTTCCTTCAGCTTGGAAACAGAACATTTTCTATAGCCAGAGCCCTTGTTTAACCAGTAACATCAACTGGTGATGAAGCATGACGCATCGTTAATACAGTGATAAATTTCCCATTAGGAGCAGGGCACTGGCTGCCAAATGGGAGGGCGAAAAGTTAAAAAAACAAAACAAAGCACATGAAACCAACCCATTATGGGTTGACAAAGACTTTTATTGTCACTGGCACTTTCAGGGAAAGCCGTCACAGAACCTTAATTAATAAATAGCCACGGCCCCGCCAGGCGAGGGGAGGCCGTGCCTGGGTACCTGCCGGGGAGCAACTTGTAGCTGGCTGTGCTCTGAGAAGTGAATGAACGAGTTGGGGACGATCATGGAAGAAGGGAATCAAGCTCTTTGCTGTCGACAATTGAACTCTATAATAACCCCCCTTGAAAATGAATAAAACACACGCCTTCCTCGAGCTTTCAGTAGCCTCTCGACAGTGTGACAGTTGCTGATTTTTTCAATAAACATGATGTCAATTATGCCTTTGATCCACCGTGCCAAAGTCACGTGCGAGAAGAATTGAGGAAACGGAGTCTCTGTTTTTTGACACTTCATATAACAATGCTTTTCTGCTTTGTTTACATCATCCTGAGGCAAAGCAGCTGCCGATCTGTAAGCTGTACATCCCGCCAACGCTCTTCTCTCTTTCTTCTCGGGTTCCCACAGCTTTACCAGCAGCAGCGTTTCCCTGAGCTCTCAGTTGTAGGTAGAAATGGGAGGTTTGGAAGAGCATGAGAAATAGGCGCTCCAGAGGACCTGGAAAACTCTCATTTAAACCAACAACTTTGGTTTCTTCCCCAACCAGTGTTTTCCTAGAGCTGTAAACAATCCCCAATTAATGGACTGCAGCTTCACATTCCTTTCCTTGCCCAGCCCCTGGGTTGGTTAAGATACTAATGAGCACAAAACAGGCCAAAAGGCAGGCAGAACATAGAAAAACAGAGGCGCTACAAGGACTCACAGGGGGGATAAACAGCACTTGGATGGTTGGGAGTTAATGGCCCAGGAAACATTCCCCCCTAAAGGATTTACTCTGTTCCTAGAGAAATGCAGCTTTCCAGATTAAAAAGTAACAGGTACTCATTTTCTCGGTGGATAGGTGGAAAACCCAGTGTTGTTTTAAATGAATGAGTACAAACGCAGCCAGCCATACGGAACTTGCAGGTGACTATTTGTTTCCAGGATTGTGCTTTGTCATGAACTTAATTACTGTGCTTCCCACTAATAAATATTATTTTTTTCTCCCTGTTTGCAGATACATTGGGTACAATCGTTCAGATGTCATGGGTTCATCATTTGTCAGAGAAACCTGGTCTCAGGAAGAATGAAGACCACGTGGCATGGCATTGCATTACGTGTGCCTTCCACATCAAGATGGAAGGAGATGTTGCGTTTTCTTCCAGATTGTTTCTATCCTACAAAGTCATCTTCTATCAAAGTGCAAACAAGCTCACTAGCTGGAATCCTTTTCCCCTCCCAAGTTCTATGTAAAATGTAAGCCACAAAGCTTAAGCTAATCACTAAAATTATTTCCTTCAATATTACTTTTTCACTTTTGAACTGAATGCTTCCTGTATATCTAAGAAAAAACTTCTAAATATATAACTTCTTCCCCTCCCTCACAAAAAAAGGTGGGAAGGAATGATTTCCACCTTCTTCAAAGAAGCTTATTATTACTGTATCCAAAATATCTGAGGAATTGGAGGGAGAAAAGGGAGAGTGGGGAGGGAGGAGGAGCCAAAGAAAAGAGCTAATGGTCAAAATGCATCCTCATAATAAAATGAGCTTCTTAATGGATGCTCACTACAGGAATAACATTAATTCAGTATTAGGACTTTCACTAGAAAAATATGAACATAATTTATCTTTTTAACTGTCAGCTGCATTTCTAAAGCTCTGAAGTCTGTAGCTTCCAGGGGCCTTTTGTCTTTCTGCCATGGCAAGATATCTTGGACAGCTGTAAGAGCTTTCTAAGCGATCTTTCTCAAAATCCATTAGCTAATTCAAGGAACCTAATTAGAGCTGCCATTTTGATGGAGCATACTGAATGCTCAGTACAAACTAGTAACACTATTGATGTTTATTAGAAATCTCAAAACCCAAAGTGCTCCATTCCCTATGAATATTAATGGGAATACAGCAAACAAAATATTTATTAAAACACAGGCTTAATACCGTGAAAGTTTATAGACAGACATTGAAAGGGAGAGAGAAGCAGCCACTTGAATTTGAAGACATGTGCCCATGGACACACAATAAACCAAGATTGATATGTAAGCAGCATGTCATTATTAGTTGCATGGCCCTCCCATTTGTCTCCCTGGGGTTTGCATCCTGGAATTCAGCAGCTCACAGCTGGGAAGACAGATGTAAGTCCAGAGAATTCTGAAGAAGGGGGCAGAGGTTGCTTTATTTTCTTTTTTCAAACAGCTGCTGAGTGCCACACATTCTTGTCAGTGGAGAAGTGAGTCTTGCTTCTCTATAAAATCAGCAGCGTGATGATGTCAGTGCTTTCCACCATCATCTAAATAAGGGGCGGGGATCATCTGGCCCAAGGGCCACATAAGGCCCTCAAAATCATTTCATTCGGCCCTGCCAAGGCATTAAGAGTGAGTAAATGAAATATTTCACCAAACACAGCAGGCTAATTTTCAAGTTGATCACTTTGTATGGCCCGTGAATGATGTTATAAATTCCCTACCTCTGCTCTAAAGGAGGGTGCCACCAAATTAATCCAAAGAGCTATTATGCCACATACTCACCGGTACCCACTGTGGCAGAGTTTATGCCAGGGCATAGCCCTGACTGAAGTGGAGCCTAAGGCTTGAAGTGACCCTGCCCCACTACCCGCGTCAGTACAGGAACAGACTCACACCCCCTTGTCCAGGGCTGAAGACTGCTGCTCCTAGTCCTCCCTCAGGAGCAATGAAAGTCCCCTGTGAATGGCGACTGTCCAGCAGCTCTTACTATTCGGTTAAGCTCAAGCTGTTGGCTTTTGTCTCTCTCTTTCCCCGTTTTTACCAACTTTTGGAAGAATCACTGTTGCCTCCTTTTGCCATCTGCCATCCCTCTTTCGGGCTGATGGCGATCTGGTTTGCCCCTCAGCACTGCTGGGATTGCATTCTGCACCTCACCACTCCCTCACTCTGCAGGACTGGCACCCACAGCAGCTTCCCTGGAGGTCTCTCCTCTTTGCTTCCTTCCTGCTTCTTCAATTTCATTGTCTGCTTTCCTCAATGTTCCTCCCACTGTTCTCTGCACAAGGCCTTCTCTAAGATTCTCTAACTGCTTGTCTGTATGTTCACTCTTGGGGATCCTGTTTACTCTGGGGGCTTTGGTGATCATATTCCTTGTCATGTTCACTTATTTACTCGTCCATTCGTTCAAAAGATGATCCCTGGAGGGCCTCTTAAAGGGAAAGTCCTCAACACAGCCGTCTACACGAAGATCTCCACTGGACACCTCAAGGAAGCCTCAAGGACCACACCCAGTCTTTGCTCTTGTTTGCATCTGAAATGTTCCACCATCTTACACTCGACTTATCCACAAACAGTCTGCTCCCCTCTCCCTAAAATCTACCTTCCCCGCTGCTATCTTCCTGGCTTTTTAATCACTTCTCCCCACTCATGAAGGCTTGAAACAATGGTTGGCATTCAGAGCACAGACCCTGGAGCCAGACTGCCTGGGGTCAAACACTGGTGCTGTTACCTCCCTCTTCCCTGCCTTGAGGAGGCTATGTAACCTCTCTATCTACAAAATGGGGGTAACAGAATAAGACCCCAGAGGGTTGTTTTGAGGATTAAAGAAGCGATTAAATTTAAAGTAGTTAGAATAGTGCCTGGCAAAAGGTAAGATTCAATAAACAAGCTGCTACTATTGTCAATATTATTTTATGCTACTGTTGACTTCCCTCATATGTACTACATACAGTTGGTTGTAATTAATTGCCTTTGGCAATGTGCCCTCCCATGTATTCCTCTTCCATGACTCTAGTTCTTATACTCTTTGCACAGATCATAGCAACAGTCCGGTAACCAGTCTTTCCACCCCAGCTCCATTCTAATTCATTGTCAGTTAGCCAAAGCTCTACTCACAGAATTCTCCTATTTTCAACTCCTCTGTCTCTTCCCATGGCTTCCACCTCCAACCCACTTATTGTCTCCCTAACATTACCCTCAGCTTTCATTCACACCCTTCCTCCTCCAAGCCCTTGTCCACACTGCCTCTAACCTCACTTATTGTCTCCCTAACATCACCTTCAGCTTTCATTCATACCCCTCCTCCTCCAAGCCCTTGTCCACACTGCCTCTTCTACTTGTAATTCTTTCCTCTTGTTTTTAAACACCACAATTAAGATGTCATCAATCTTTTTAAAAAAATATATATTTTTTATTGATTTTTACACAGAGAGGAATTGAGAGGGATAGAGAGTTAGAAACGTCGATGAGAGAGAAACATTGACCAGCTGCCTCTTGCACCCTCCATTGGGGATGTGCCCGCAACCAAGGTACATGCCCTTGACCGAAATTGAACCCGGGACCTTTCAATCTGCAGGCCGACGCTCTATCCACTGAGCCAAACCGGTTTCGGCAAGATGTCATCAATCTTTAAGCACATCCACTGCCTTGTTATTATTACACACAGATGAATTCTCCGGCCACTGCCCACACTTCCTGTGGTCTGTGTCCAAAGCATTGGCCCCTGCTTCCCTCTCCATCTCATCGTGAACTATTCTTGTTTTCACCTGGTTCCTTGGTGACAACCCAAGCTTGGCACAGCTCCAGGAGCAAGTGTTTCTGGGCGTGCTCTCCCTTCTTTAGCCACTTCATCTGAATTCCCTTCAAGTCATGCCCGGTCCAGTCAGACTGCTTGTTTCCTTTGTAGCACAAATCACTCCATCAACACATCTTAATTATTTGTTCACTTATGTCCATCTGCCTAACTCTACAAGAATAGAATATGGGTGAGAGCAGAGAGCTTCTAGGTCCTGTTCACAGCTGTCTTTCTAGAGTCAGTGCCTGGCACATACCTAAAAGAATGATTCTTCACCTGTGAAATCTTTCAAGAGTCTTAAGAGTCATTCAGTAAGTATTTACTAAGCAACTACTATTCTCTAGAATTGTTCTAGACCCTGAGAATTGAGGGGGAGTACAAGACACACAACCTTGTGCACTTATGTTCTAATGAGAGAGTGAGACAATACACAAACCAATGAAAAAGATGTTTAGTGCCACCAGATTCTTAAAATATAATGTGGTGATAAAATAGTGGTGGGGTAGCTACTTTAGGTTGGCAGTCAAGAAAGACCTTTTTCTTTTAAGCTAAGGTCTACAAATAGAAGAAAAATCCATCCAGAAGCTTCTTTATGAATAGGATTTTAGAGACAGAGAGAAAATATTTAAAGCCAAAGCCCTAAGGAGGGAATGAGTGTGATGAACTAAAGGAACAGAAAGAAAATAGTGTGGCTGGAGCTAAGTGGTCAGGGATGAAGTGGCAAGTGACGAGGTTAAGCAGACTGGCAACACTGAGATCCCACAGGCTTTGTAGGACCTGGAAAGATCTTTGGATTTTACTCCAGGTGAAATGAGATGATGTTACAAGATTTTAAGCCAGGAGGAAACATGATCTAATTTAACTGTTTCTGAAGGAGACAGACAGAGGTTGCTGCAGAAGAACAAGTGAGAACTGAAAGTAACCTGGCCCTGGAGGTGGTCGGGAAGATGGAGAGAAATAGATGAGTTCAGAAGCATTATGTTCCAAGCACAGGCTATTCCATGAGCCTTCCCTGGCAGAAAACAGTCTTTCCTGCTTTGGAATCCACGTGGTACTTTGTACTTTCATTATGGACCTTACTTTCCTCTTCCATCACTCATATGTTTTATACAGTTTAAATCCCTGTTTAACCTCCAGCCACCGGTAGCTAAGTGATATGAGGACATCATTGTATCTTCTGTAGAACTTGGTCCAGTGCCCTCACCTAGGATGAATTCAATAAACACATATTTGTGGGAGTTGGAAACAGGAAAGTGATTTAAGAAAGTGTGCAATGAGAAGTGGGAGGAAAGGTAGGAAACAGTGGAACCCTGTAAGGGAGAGGAAGGGTATATGCTTGGGCATGGGGGGTATTTATGGGCGAGACTATAGGGCCAAACCACCTGGCAATATCTTAGCTGCTGCCACCTGGAGAATGCTTTCTTTTTGGTATTTCCCCTTCCCTGGCTCATGAGCCGAACACTCTGAGTAAATCCCTAATGGTTTTGTACAAGCTATTTTTCCATTCCTGGGTACAGCACAGATAGCGCACTCTTTAGGACATTTCTACATGTTTTTGACACCCTCTCCACTGCATCATGCTTTCATGGACTTCTGTTTTCTTCCAGCAATTGCTGCAACATCCTGGTGCCATCCACTCCCATAAGAATTGTCTAGCCAAGCAGCGAAGCACTTGGCTTATTGATGTTCATGGAATAGATGTGTGCTGAAATGGTGTTATTAGAAACCTTTTCTATGCTATTTCATACTAAATATAGTATGCAT